TATGCTAGAACTGTTTAATCTTATTATACTGAATATGAAATAAAATTACTTCATTTTTATAGCTTAGGTGTTCATAGCTTCCGTTTAACAAAACCATTTTGAAGTAGTCGTCTAAACAATCACTGTGAGGACCAAGACTAGGCACCATAAATGGTTTTAAGCTTTTTGGTGCCATGCCCTATTGTAAATATTTACATCTCCTTGGTTCAAGAAGCTACATCACACATAGGCTGAGCCTGGATGAAAACTACCATTTGTGTCAACCCGCAAGCTGAAATTCCACTCTTCTCTTCCATCTGATAATCCTAATTATAATGAAATACAAAATAAAAATTTACTGGGAAGCTCAGAAACTAAATACATAACTCACTCTTGTTTATGCAGGGGAGAAAAGGTATGTTATATATCTACATATAACTGTTATAATCTTTAAAATAAAACTGTTCTGAAAAGAGCAAGCCCTTACACTTCTCTTCATTTTCATGTTTGTAATTCCTAGAGGACAGATGACACTTTTTAATCTTTCTATTTATTGAAAAGATTTCAGTGGAATGAAACTTAGTACCACTACTCAACTCTGAATTTCGTCACCTTTGGACAAAAGCAGAATCTCTAACCTTGGGGCACCTCCGGACAGATTATCCATTGTAATAGTTCAGGCTCTGGAAAGCGATAGCCACGTGTATCTTTTCCTCTTAAAAAAAAATAATTTGCCATGTCTAAGAACTCTAATTTGAATGCCCTCTACTGCAACAACACTCCTCTAGCTACTATGAAATCCTTTGTTCGTGGAACAGTAAATTTGACCAGCATGCTCAGCCACAGGCTTTTTTCCACAGCTGCAGTGTCTCAAATGCACACACCACCCATTTCAGTTCTCATTTCTGTATCTTACCCATTGTGCACCGCTGCTCTTGGGTCGTTGCTACTCTTCACTTTGATCATCAGCAAGGAGAAGAGAAGGAAGAACATGGCCATACCAAAGCACACACGGTACACGGCTTTGTACCCAACCAGTACATCGCAATTCACGTGGCCGTGCACGCCAGGAATAGTTGTTCCCATCCCTCCATCACAAAATCCAGGAATCTGTGATAAATACAAGATACTTAAGTGATCTGTAAAAGGCCTCCTGCGAGTAAATACATTAGTCATTTATTAATACACAATTCATTAATATTGTAGCATAACGCAACTATTAACATTGCTAGAAAACATCATACTGAAGGGCTGTATTGTTAGTCACAGTCCAATCAAAACATTAAACGCATTCAAGGAAAAAAAATCCCACACAGGCAAATTCTAAACAAAACCAAAGTATATATTAACAGCGGAGGGTTTTTCGTTATTAGCAATTTCAGAACTTCTCAAAGAAATGCAGTTTCACTTGTTGATCTGAATCAGGAGGTAAATAAAAGATCTCGGATTTGGTAAATTTGACTTGGCAGTTACTATCAGGCTCGTGCCATAGCCAGGAGAAGGCAGCCTGCCTACATCTCTTTAAAATAGAAACAGCCTCCCCCCAAAAAGTAACATCGCCATCAATTAGAAGTATCTGTAAATTCCATACAGAACAGCTGAGAACATCCTTTCCAGTCACCACCAGGACACAAGCAACACCTTTCTGAAGTCAAATCATACTCCAGAAGGCTGCAATTTTCTTTCCTAGGTGACTAACATGGCTCTCACTGAAGCTCTAATGTGGTTACTACACCACACTGAAATAAATATTTACAGATTAATCTTTTGGAGGAAAGAAAAATCAAAAGCATGCCTAACAGAAGTCACTATCTACTAGAAAAAAAACTAAAGACAGCAAAACGAAGGCTAGCAGAACCAAAGCACATGCTACCCAAGTTAGTGAACCTGTAAGACCTCCCATAACTCAAATTATCACTCTATAATTTTACATGCATTATCGTATCTTCATCTAACTAACAAACTGTAAAATCCTACAAGCATTTCCTAATTTCCTTAGTGAAAATATGCTCTCACTAGTGAAAAATACTTTTGTTATGCATTTTCAGACTTTAAACTTGAGTTTTAAGTAGCACAGCACAATGAAACTAGAAGGCATCTCAGATTGTGGTTATTTTTTTTGGTTTATTAACAACAATCAAAATCAATTAAGTGCCACAAATACAGCATCTCAAGAACATATAATTTAAAGCTTCACATAGATAATTACATTTTCTTGTTTGATACAAGATTTAATTTTTTCTGCTCTGAGCTATTAAAGAAGAGATGCAACTTTACTTCTAAATAGTGCTTTTCATCTACGCTGTGATTGTCCCATGAGTTCTTTGTTTATCTGATCTACAATCAAATTAATGGTGACTGTGAACCAGAGACAGCAGCACAATTACATATCTCTAAATAAAAACCAGGCTTTCAAGCTGTCATTTACAATTATTTGTGACATTTGTTCTACCAAATATGTTAGCAAAGAAGTAACCTGACCTTCTTCAGCTGTTCTTCCATGCCTGGTATTAGCATCACGCAGGCGACACTCACGCCAAGAAGTAAAAAGAACGCGTAAATCAGCCGCGTTATGGTGGAGTTGTTTCCACTGGGGCAGCATCGGCAGAGCAGGCACGGGGCACTTCCACATAAGCACGGTATCTGACAGAGAGACAGAACATAAAGCAAACTCTTTAACAAGTTTTTCAACATTTAATGAGGCTGTGTCAATCACCAGAAGTTATGATGGCAAGTGACTCACCCTACGCATCTCATCACTAGTGCAGACAAGTCCCTGCAGCACGTTACGGAGCTCCCTAACAACCCTGGCAGAGCTTCCTAACGCACTGCTGTACGCTGAAACTAGCGCCGTGTCAAAAGTCATCACTCGTGCATTCAGAGGAAATAGAGACTGGATTCAGGCTCATTTGTTCTCCTGAATTTTACTTCACTTCAGCTAAACGAGACGCAAAGATTTGCTTTTAGTTAACAACTACATCCTCCCTGCCACAGCTGCAGAGATTAAACACACCATGGGAAAAAAATCTGAGCACAACTGCCATCTAGGTACACTTCCAGCACCTGGCAGAGCTGGGCCACAATCCTCACTGGGGCTATAAGCATTACTGAAGCACAAACAATAGGTATAATAGCCTAAGGCTCAGGCTGCAAATTATTGCGTATTTAGCAGCTACATAATTCTGTCAGCTGGCAAAATTAACTTACGCAATGTAAAAGTTACAAATGGCAGGAACAAAGCAAACACACGATACACGTATCGTCACTGCTCCCAGATATCAACAGCAGAAGTGGTCAGGAATGCTGCACAGTTGTAATGCTATAATGGGAAAGAAACAGGACAAAAATTTACCTGCGTTTAACTCCTCAAGAGAAAACTGCGGGAAGAAGGAAAGGGAGGAGACAGTGCTATTTCACCAGTGGGGGGAGCGGGAAACATACTTCACCCCTTGACAATTTTCTGCCACTTGCTGAGTGACAATTCAGGAAGCAAAAGGAGGACAAGGTTCCACAAGTAAACATAAGCCAGAAGAGAAACGGTACAATCAAAATCTTTCAGTTTGTTGTTTGTTTTTTTTTTTTTTTTAATTTACAAATAAATATCTTGCCTGGAAGACACGGAAATCCCAGTGAGCAGTTAACAGCTGAGTTTTGGAGGCCACACATTCTTCAGGGAAGGTGAAGTTACCACGTGCTGCCTACCTGAGCTAGGTCAGACCTCTGACGAAGATGCTGAACGGCCGTCACACCCCGCGCCTGCCCCGCGCACACACAGGCAGGGCCACCTCCGCCACGCGACGGACGCCACAGGAGTTGATCACTGCACCAAAGACGCCCCTGTCAGCCACACAAGAACATGACCAGCAGCACCGCCACATGACCCAGTATGACGGCATGCAAAGAGAGCTGTTAAAATTTCATCATGTGACAAACAAAAACACCAGCAGTCTGCTGCCACCGGAAAAGCCCCGGGGCTCGCAGGG